AAGTGAAGTGGGGCAAAGAGTCTAATGGGAACCAAAGAAGTCCCCAATATTGCCCTGGCCCTTTCTTACTGCAGCTAATTTTGTTTGAACACTCCCCCCCTCCATCCCCTCATGCTTCTATTTTTGGGCTTCATACGAGCATATTGTATATCTTCAAATCTTAATGCCCTCAGTCAACTCCTTTTGCTCCCCTTGATTCATTTGTTGTAAACTTACAGCTTCCCAGAACAGGTATGCTATTGATAGAGGGGTGTTGTTGTTGTTATTGATCCCATTTCCAATCAAGACAGAAACTTGTCCCCGAGGAGCACAGAACAACAGTTAGACAAAGAAGCAGAAACTAGGCCTGCAGAAAGGCAAGAGCTTCGTTCTTCATTATAATTGTTTTTCCAAGGTTTTCTTATGAACTTTAAATATTAGAAACATCAGTGCTTTTTTTGCAGATCGGTAGTATGAAGAAAAAGTATTGACCTACTTTTAGTAATCTTACTCAGGAAAGCATTCAAAATGATTCTGGCCTTTGGTCCCAAACCTGGTAATTTCTTCTCCTTGGTAACGTTTTTCAAATGTAGGCTTCTGTACACCCTGTATTTTATATTGTGTAACACACAGTACAAACAATACTGCTTTGTCAATACGTACATTGCTAATACCTGCGGAGCAGTCACACACACACAAATATAAACATCTGTCGACATTTGAATATGAGTTAACTTGATGCTGACATCCTGACATCTTCCAAAGTCCCGTCCCTGCCCCCCCGGCAACAATATTTGGACTCTGGATACTGTACATTCCAGAATAGATATGTCAATTGATGTGAAGTCGTATCCTACCATACAACATCTAGTAGTGTTTTGTGGACTTCCCTAAATTATATTTTTCACCTTATGATGCATAACTGAACCTTGTACAGTATTCTATGGAAATGAAATTATTTTTGGCTATCTTACCCAAACAACATGTTTTCTAGGAACTATAAAAATGTGACTATTAAAATACTGTATTTTAAACACTTAAGAAAAAACACTTTTTAAAAATAAACTTTCATTGCATCAAGTGTTTGCCTGGAACTCGTAACATATTTACAGAGACACCAAGTTTTTAACCTGACAACTGATTTCTGTTTAGTAAAAAAAGAGGAAGACATAATATGCTAGATAGTAATTTAAAGATAAATTACCATGACCAAGAAATACATTAGCAGTAAAAAAAATGAAAGTGGGTGAAAAGGGCCTAAATGAGCCTCCAACAGAGTAAATGGAATTTAAAATAAAAATATGAAATAGTTTGGGATGAAAGTGAAATGAGGGAATGCTGGAAAAAGTATTTTTGAGATTTTTATTGGAATAACGGAGATACATTGATGAATGGGACTGAAATGAATGTTATATTAGTTTCCAAAAAAATTGATGAAAAGGAAGTTAAAATGCTGTGAGAATGAAATGCATTAAGAATATAGATGTAGATGGTGTAGAATGTGGATTTTATTTGCAATTGAAAGGGTTGTGTGTGAAGACTGCAACTGTGCCCAGTGACTGGAAGAATGCAGCATTACCATTCCATTGTACAAAGGGAGAAGTAGCAAGTAGGGGTATAGTGAAACTGAAAATGTTTTGTTTTACACCTCCCCTCAATTATTACAACCAACATTTTTGACTTTTTCCTGCTCTTAGCAGCCCCAAATATTTCTGCTAGAAACAACTATGTTTCAATCCATATCTGGAACAAAACAACCCCATTTCTTTTTGCATATGGACTAAAAATGTGTGTTCTGTGCATGAAATACTTTAGGCATGAACCATTCTTCTACAGCACCAGCAGTGAATGCAAAAGGCACTGTCCATTTAGTTTGTTAAGTGTGCCTATAAAGGTGTTTGGCCGAACTCTGGCTGAAATGGTAGGAAATATGACAATGAGCAAAATTTGGAAAGTGAAACATGGCTTTGGGCCAGGCAAGGGAGCATTCAGACCATATTTTATTCTTCAGCAGGCCACTAAGATATTTATGAAAGTGAGAAAGTTTATTGTATATTTGTTAAAGAAATCATACAATAATAAATGGAATACTTTATAGATGGTTCAAAGTTGACCAGGGAGTAAGACAAAATGTTCAACATCCCCTTGGGTCTTTCATGTATTTATGGATAAACACATAAGGAATGCTTTGGTGAGATTAGAAGTGTGGTGGTCAAAGACAAAAATATGTGTGCGTTTTTATTTATGTGCAGATGATAATGCTAAGAATTCAAATTGTTTGCAGCAAGACCAAGGTAGCTGGGTCAAGAAAGAATGATCAATGCCTGACCACATTGAAGTGCTTTGTTCAAATAGAGACGATAAATTAAGATAGAATTGCAAAACAAAAATATGGAATAAATAGGCTGAGACAAGAAGGAAGACTGAGAAAGTCACAGTTGGATGAAGTTAATGGGATAATGAAAAAGAGAAGTTTAAAGAACAAAAGGCAGGGTATGAATTAATGTATGGATATAAGGGAGGCAAGGATGGTTTATAAGGACAGAAGAATATGCAGAGGTATGATTGGTTTAAGTTACATCTAGGATTCCTTTTCTTTTCTTTTATATCCTGCCTTTAATTTTTTGCTTATACTTACTCTATGTTATATGTAACATAGCATAGGTTTGTTATGTATATATATGTAGGACCCAGCAAATATTTGATAATATATTTCAAAATGTAGGTAACTCCAGTAGTTGATATACTAAAAAAGCATGATGATGATGATGATGCAATAGCTTGCAGGGCTAGCCACGCTATTAGAATATAGAATAAGACAGTATCAGCCTCCTATTACATGGAACTTTACTCTCAGAATTCCTGAAAAATCAAAACTGTTTGGATATTGAAAATATCCACTATGTGATGAAGATGTTAACAAAAAACTGAAAATAAAGATCAAACAAAATTGATGAATAAAACAGGTTTTAAGATTGAGAATAAAGACAAATATTTAGGTAATATGAAATATGAAAAATATGACAAATATGAACTGTATGTTATTTCAAAATAACTAAGACATGGAATTAAGTTAAAAAAAATATGTTAAGATGGGAGAAAATACAACTGTCATTGCTGGGGAGAATTTCTGTAATAAAAATGAATATTCTGCCTAGAATGATATTTTTGTTTCAGACAATTCCTGTTTTGACAATCGATGCCCCATGTAAACAGTGGCAAAAGGATGTATCTAAATTTGTGTGATGGGGGGGGGGGAAACTAGTTAAATATAAGGTGTTACAGCACGCAAAGGAAAGAGGATTGGGTTTACCTGATTTGAAATTGTATTTTGCAGCTTGCTATTTGGTTTGGATAAAAGAATGGGTGCTGCTGAGAAATAGAAGACTTTTGGAGTTGGAAGAACCTGAGATTTGGGTGGCATGGGTATTTGTGGTATGACAAAGTCAAGGTTAATGTGGAGTTTAAAAATTATTATGTTAGATGTGCCATATTGAGAATATGGAATAGATACAAATCTAGGTTGTGTCCTAAAACGCCTTTGTGACTTTCAGCACAAGAACCATTTTATAGACGAGAAATAATAGGCAAACACAAATGGATAACTTATAGTGAGATACTAGAATTTTGTCAAGGGGAATACAAAATAAAATCAAGAGAACTGATGGCAGAGGGACATAGGTTTTCTTATTTACAGTATTAGAAAGATTTAAAGTAGACAAAAGAGTTTATGTTTTTTAAACATTGTAAGACTGAGTTTGAAATGTAATTATGTACAAATGATGAACATGTAATTGCTAAAATGTTTAGACTTCTATAGAAATTTGAAACAGAAGAACAACAAGTGAAAGAATGTATGATAAAGTGGGTTAAATATTTTGGTTATAATATACAGATTGAACAATGGGAAAATATGTGGTTGAAAGGATTGAAATTTACAGTTATAATCTTAGATAATTTTTATAAAATGATGTACAGTTGGTATATGTCACCAAAGAAATTGTCTAGAATGTATAAAGGCACTTCAAATTCATGTTGGAAATGTGAACAACAAGAAGGGACATTTTATCATCCTTGGAGGATGTGTAAGGATTTTAAAGATTAATATGCAATTGAGGCCAGAAGTCATTCTTTTAGAACTGATGGACAAACAGTTGGAAAAAAGTCATGGAACTTTGTTTTTGTGTATGATAACTGCAACAAGATGTATGCACAAAGATGGAAAGATTCAGCAATACCTACAATGCAGAAATGGTTGGTGAAGATGATGGAACTCGCTGAGATGGCCAAATGACATCTTTCTTTGGAGAAAAGACAATATCTACATTTATTACTGACTGAAAACCCCTTATGGACGTTTTGCGGAAAAGAGAAAAAAATGAATTACGATTTATGATTTTGATGATTAGACAGGATAGATTATAGAAAGAAGAGAGATATGTTATAACTTTAGAGAAAGAAGTAAATTTATAATTGTACTTTTAACTGCTGTAAAGAAGATTGGAAGCCACTTCTTTGTATCTTTCTTTCTTTTCTATTTTTCTTTTCCTTTTTCTCCTTTCTTGCACTTTTAGCTTTCTCTTTGATTTTTCTTTTTTCTTTTATATTAGTTTGCATTAGTTCTTATCTTCTTTTTTAAAACTTTTAATAAAATTATATAAAAAAAGAAAGTATCCACTATGTAACTCACATCCGATTCTCAATACTGAGGACTTTCTTAACACAATGAATTCTGGTGAGATAACAAATATGACTTTTTAATAATGCATCTTTCAGCATTATTTCTGGATAGGGCACATGATGCTAAGGTTAGTGCTTATATGCTATCTGAACCCTACATTGCTTCTAAAATTTTAAAGGAACGAACACCCTAAAAAGTTCACAATTCCCAAATAAAGTTTATATTTCAGTTTGATAGATTTTGTTCTGTGTTTTCCAATGTATTAGTACAGTAATAATAGCAAGAGCAAACTATCACAAATCATGGATATAATCCTATTTTATTAAAATCAATTTATGCTTTGTTATTATCATGGGAAGTGAACTTGAATTGCAACTTATGCTGGTGTTGTTATATTAATATTGATACAAACATTCAGCACCAATTGCCAAATCCCTATCTTGTGCCTGAATATTTAGCAAATTAATAAGAGAACTGATAGTTTAGTATATTACATAAATTGTAAAAACCAAAACAAAGCAGAGGGAAGAAGACAAAGGGAGATTAAAAGAATCTTGAATCTTCCACAGTACTGATTTAGAGCCCTGGGCTCAGTTCTTAAAAGGAGTGAAAACAAAAAACACAATGTAGCTTGCTCCAATGGCTTTTTCAACATAGCATTACAGAGCAGTATATATCGTATCATGGTTGTATGGGATGCTCTATATTGTAAAGACACAAGCTGATAAAACTGCTAGGAATTTGATCAACAAATATAATCAAGGGCAAATTACAATACCCCCCTTTCTTAGAAAATATATGAAAGATTCAGAAATTCATAACTAGCTTGCACAGTGTATAAGAAGTTGAGAATATGTCACAGGAATAGAGGCAGATAACCTTTCTGCCAATAAATATAACTTCTAAGTGCAAAATGACTAACTTGCTGTTCTCTAACTAGTTTTGTTACTAATCAGCATTTCTTACAATCACCTAATTACAGCTAAGTTGGAAATGCAATGCATATATATAGTTCAGGATTGGAGTGTTGTAAGAGGGTTATAAGAGTTCTCTGAGCTTGGTTTTTTGTTTGCAGATGTTTCTTCAGAGGTATGACCTTGAAGAAGTGAAGTTAGTTACTTGTGGCAGCCCACCAGATCACATACAAGGCTGCCACATACAACCAACAATCCTCACTTCTTCAAGATCACAGCATTGAAGATGATACCTAATGTAATGTGTACAAATGAAAAACTGAGCTCAGAGAACTCCTACAACCTAACTTAGAACTAATTTGTGGCAACCAGCTGCAATCATAAAAACTCTGAAAGACTGTAAGAACAATCAAAGTGGATGAATCTAATGCCCTTTTAAAATCTTTAGTTTCTTTAGAATGGTAATCATTGAGAACCTGAAATGGTTCTCAAAGAGTTTACATTAAGTAAATAATACTTCTGTATTGCAATGTTGAGGATAACACTTTTCAAAAACATACTGGAATTTAATAACAAAAGCAAAGAATCCATATTAAATAATAAAAATGTAAAACAATCAGTCCAAGATACAGTAATACCGGTGATACATGGAGATTTGATTCACAAAGATATCACAAACTGGGATGGATAATGCATAATCTCCCTCTCTTATGATGGGGAACAGATGTTATCCTTGCTAAGACATTGGTTAGAGAAATCAGAATATAGCAGTAACCCTGAGATGAATTCATGGTAAAATTTGCTTATTAAGGCTCCATATCTAAGTTTTAGGACTGCTTCACACATTGTCAATAACGTTTTTTTCCCGACCAGAGCATACAGCTCAGGGAGCCATGGCCAATTGGGAAATCTCTTTGATTTGAACCATATGTTTATTTTATTACAATGTGTTTTGGGATATATACTTTTCAGCATATATAATACAAGCATGTACTAAAGATGTGAATATATGAATGTATGAAGCGACCCTTATTTGCAGAGTGAGCCATAGTAGGTTTGCAATTAAAGCATGAATGCCAACTATCACAAAGATGAGAGAACCTTTTTCTAAATATCTACAAAAAATTGGCTGTTTTTCTGAAGTAATTGTAGAATTCTGTGATGAAATGAATGACCCAAGGCATTTAATTGTTGAACACATAAAATGAAGTATATTTAAAATAAAATTTTAAAAAATGGTCAGACTATAGAGTTTGAAAAGAATTTACAGGGCTGCAGCAGCTGAGTTTTTGGAACTGTTAATTTATCGCAAAGCCTAAACTGGGTTTCTTTCTTTCATTGCACAGTATTTTCTCTTAAAATGTGTGCATTTTCAAAACAATTACATACATATTAAAAATCAGCATTTTTGCTTAAACATAATTAAAACGGTAATACTCTCAGACAACACAGATCTGAAATGGCAAAACCAGTAATTTTTTTCCCTCCCATCTTTACAACAAATTAATTTGAGACAAAATTACAAACACATTTCACTACATGATTATTAATAAAAATTAGGATTTTTGTTTATAAAGTTGCCCAAAATGCAAGGGATGTGCATAGGTTTTACAACTTAGTCATAGTATTTTATTTTATTCCCTTGGGTATCTTCCCCCCATGAACGGAATGTACTTTGTTGTAGATTACAGTTTTTTCAACACAGATACACCAACGGCATGAACGCTTGCAACTGTCCACATGCATTAAGAGTCAAGACCCAACTTCAAATCTCTATTTAGTTTTACAGAGTTCTTCAAAGAGACAGTATCGCATTATCTGCATATTACATGAAAATACTTCAAAATGCTACCCTAAAAATGATTAAAAAAAGCGAAAGAAGGCCATTAGAATGTAAGTATTGATCTGGTCACGATTGGGCTAATAATTTCAAATAAATAAAGGAAAGCAACTTAATCCAATTCACAAAATCAGACTCTAAAAGATGTAGTGTTCCACCCCCAAATAAAGTAAAGATCATATTATTATTAAAATAGATTATAGAAAGCAGCATCTATTTTGTGCAGTTTTAGGGGCCTTTGAAATTAAAAGCTATGAATTCCAAAAATATAACATTCCAAAGGACTGAATAATACATATATTTAAAGATACATTTTAATAAAGTTTAGGAGAACTGATTAAAAAAGATACTGTCTCTTTAAATTATCATATTTTTTTGCCTAGCTATAAGGACATGACAATAATTATAAATTTAGGTCACACTACATCTAGGTAGTCTCTAGGGGCCAAGACCTGTTGACTCAAGGTCAATAACAAAGAGGTTCTTCCAAGTATGAGGTGGTTTCCATTAATGATCACATTCTTCTGGTAATAGGGTTAATATATCCAGGAAACAGGAACCCATTGTGATGCTTTACAAACAAGCTCAATGGCTTCCTCCAGATGCCTGATTGTTTCATCAATTTCATTGTTGATAATTGTAAGGTCAAAGTAGTGTGCATATGTTCTCTGTAAGATTTCTGATTCCTTTTGCAAGCGTTGAAGAGATTCATCCTGCACAGTGATTAGGAAAAAGGAAAGTGGAACAACTTTGTTATCTTGTATTTACTGCTTACAAGGAAGCACATTGCCAAATGCATTTCTTGTATAAGGATTCATTCATTTTGAATCCTTTTGTAAGACATGCATTTGGAAGCTTGCTTAACTTTAATAAAATTGCACTGAATTTACTAAACTGCTTGGTTCGATCATATAAATAAATTTATTTATTTTCTTCACATAACTGAACATTAGTTTAAATGGGTGAGATGAATCTGAGAAAAAAATAATTGGCATAAGCAAGGAACAAGAGAGGAATGGGACCTTATTAATGAATCACAAGAGATACGTAAAAGCTTAGTTTGTAACCAAAATAAAGCACTTAATAACAAGCTGATTAATACATACAGACATGGCTGAAAGTATTGGTATCTCCTCTACTTTTTCCCCCCAAATCCCAATTTGCTGTGAAATAAGTTGAAACCGACACAAGTAAATTGCATCCACCATTCTTTATTTCACAGTCTCTAGAGGAGATATGCTTTTGATGTTTGACTTAACATATTCTTGTAAATAATAAAACAAATGAACTAATTATTATGATGTTATTATTCTCACATATGTCATGCAACTGAAAAGGTCATATTATCTACGAGCCATGTCAGAATTACTCATTACTTTACTTTATGCAAAGTCAGGTTTACAGGTAGTCCTTGGGTTATGACCACTCATTCAGTGACCATTCAAAGTTACGATGCCACTGAATGAGGGAGACTTATGACCAGTCTGTGAAGTTGCAGCCCTCGCAGCATCCCTGCAGTCATGATCCAGGTGTTTGGTCCCCAGCTCGTGATTATGACGTTGCAAAAAGCTGTGGTCATGTGATTGTGACTTCCTACGTTCCCTGCCAGCTTCCCACAAGCAAAGTAAATGGGGAAGCTGGCAGGAAGTCAGAAATCACTCCCACCATTTTGCCTGCCTACACTCCATAGTGCCTGCCCACAACACCCCCGTGGCACTTGTGCACCAACCCACACTCTGCAGCATCTGCCCGTGGCACCTATCTGCAATCCATAGTGCCTACCTGTGGCACCCCCCCACCTGCCTGTAACTCTTACCTGCAGCTCTCACCCACCTGTTTGCTTGCCTGGGACTCCTGCCTCTTCCTGTTTAATGACCTGCGTGGTCCTGGGGTTATGATGGCAACTGGGACTGCTGAGATTGCCATCGCTAAGCAATGAGGTCACTTAACATCATGCTTTATGGCTGCATCGCTTAGCGATGGAAATTCTGGTCCCAATTGCCGTCGTAACCCGAGGAATGCCTGTATTATGCTGTAAAGAATTATTAAAATTTGAAAATTCCTATCATAAACCTAGCCCCAGTTAATTCTATGAAAACTAGAATACTGTAATGAAATCTGTAGAATTCAGTTATGCAGTTTTTCTATTCTGCAGAAAAATGCAAGGAAACACTTACCTAACTCCAGCTAATATTCCCCACCAAATGAGAAACAGTCAATATTTCCTGATGTAGTGACTATGGAGATCACCTTGACTATGGCATCCCTTTGTGGTGGGATGCCATAGTCAAGGTGATCTCCACAGTCATTACATCAGGAAATATAGGTCATTTTTGCCTTGGGAAATTATTTGCTATTCCTATTGATTTGTATATAATTCTCTCTGATATTGGTGAACTATAACTCTCATGATTATTGGAATTGCTTGCTTTGAGTTCTAGTTCAACCACATCTGAAGGCCTGTACATTGCCAATTCCAGTTTTAAATTAAAAACACATAAGAAAAAATGTAAAAATAACTGTGGCATATAGGTTACATTTAATTTAAAATCTTTATTCAAACAATATTAAAATAATAAAATGTACACAATACTGGTTCCTAACGGGTACTTACAGGCAATTTTCTGCACCATTTTGGCAGCTAGATAAAATCAGTACAAGTGTAAGAAAAATGAGAAGAAAAGCAAAGATAATAAATGAAAAAACAACAATAATGCAGTCATGCAGGATATGTCTGCAACAGCAATCCTCCTTATAATCTTTCATTTTAATTTATTTATACATCCTTGTTTCCATATTGACACATTTTCAATGAATTGGTGCTTTCTCTCTCCTTTGTAACTGTGGGTTTGGCAGTTTGTATTCATTTTGAAAACATAAAACTAAAATATGTAGAATTAACGTATTTATGTAAATACTATTAGCTTTGGTGCAAAATAAAAAGACAGTTTGAAATTTTGAGGCAGTTCAACTTTTTCTTTTTAAATTAAAGAAAAAAATGTTCTGATTATGGAGCTAGATAACATTTGTTTTGTGTATATTCAGTCAGGCAATTATTACTATCCCTTTCAAGATATATTTTCTTCTAAAGAAACCAGGGAGTGGGTTTCTAACTAGGGAAAATCCGTAATAAGAAACTGGATGAGATTACATTTTCACAGCCTCATGTGTGTGTTTGGTTAAACTATACAAAAATTAGCTGGTACAGACATGGCCTCAGAAAAACAAAGTAAAATTTAAAATAAAGTATGACAGGTGAAGAGAAAAAAATATTTATGCAAATTACATTGTAAAAAGAAAAGTGAACAGACGTATGCTAAACATGTACAGAGGAAAAATAGTGAATGTGACTTCTCAAATTTCCCCAATTTCTGTTATATTACATTCAGTTGCACTAATATTTCACTGTAACAAGGCTTACCTCATTAATGCCTGGGGTAATTGTAGGTGCAGCAATAAAAACAACAAAAGGAGCAAACTCTGCAGTTCTCAGGACCTTCAAGGCCTAAGTGAGTATAATATAGAATGGTATAAACTTTAATATAAAGTAACATAGATATTCTTGTCCTTACTTCTAGTTCATATTGACCCATCCATCTTCTGACTCCTCTTACATGGGCAAAGCAAAGAAAGGATGTCTTTCTTCACATCAAAGACACTTGGAAATAGAGCACTTTATAGTAGGCTAAGGTTTTGTCATCATACCCGATATGCAGGGAAATATTTTCTGTGTCTGACAAAATATGCACATGAATTTTATATTTACCTGAGGCTCTACATCAAGTATTGCAATTAATCCCTGTTCGTGGATCTTCCGTATTGTTTCCAGTTTTGTCCCATACATTGCATCTTCATGGCTACCGTATTCCAAATATTCATTGTTGGAAATGTCCTGCATCATTTGGTCATGTGATACAAAGTAATAATTCTTTCCATTCTCTTCATCTTTCTTTGGTGGCCTGGTTGTATCTATAATTACAAAAGTTAGGTACAACAAACCCAGACTCGTTTTACATTCATCCACACTACAGAAATACATAGTGTGTATGTGTGTGTGTGTGTGTGTATATGAATTATAGACAACAGTTTAGATATTAATTTTTGCAAAAACTATCAACTATTAATTTCTGTATTTTAATTTTTGTCCAAACCAATGAAAACAAGTAAATCTTAAAACTCCTATAATGTTTTATTCTTGAAGGAACCCCTTCTGAAAAAGATTCTTGAGAGAAATGGAAAAAAAATTGATTTTTTTCCTATGAGCATAATTATTACTTATTCATTTTGGCCACCCTAATGAACTCCTAATGACTCTGGGCAGCTTACAATTAACAAGTAAGAACAATACAATAAAAAAAAGAATTCATAACTGGCCCTAAGACAGGCACATATACAAAAAGCCCATCCAATAGGGGCTGAACCATCAACCTGCACCAATACAACCATACATTTGCTACAATAGCTCAAATACAGGTAGTCCTCGCTTACCAATGGTTTGTTCAGCAACCTTTCAAAGTTACAGTGAGGAGACTTATGACCAAATCAACATTTCTGACCTTCACAGCCAGCTTCCAACAAGCAAAGTCAATGGGGAAGCCGACGTTGCACTTAATGATCACGAGTGATTCACTTAATGACCACAGCTGGAACTGACATCATAAGTTGGCATGGTCAGGCGTTTTGCTTTACCACTACATCACTTAGTGATGGAGTTGCCGATCCTATTGTGGTTGGTAAGTGAGGACTACCTGTATGTGATATTCTATCTTCATATGATGGACAGATAAATTTTAGGTGCAATCCTATGCATGCCCTATCTGGGCATAAGTTCTATTGAATACAATGGGAATTACTTCTGCAGGTGTTCTTAGTTTTATTTTTTTAATTAATTAAACAGATGTGACTGGGTGAACATCACAGTATTAGTTTTATATAATTAAAATCAGGCAGCTAGCTTCCTTGTAATATTCAAAAAGGAAGGGGAGAAAAGGACTGGATTATATTTGTTACCACAGAATACAACACTGTGTATAATAGAAAAAAAAATCCACATTATAGTTCTTCAGGGAGTTCTTTGATAAGCAGATCAAAGTGATTTTATTACTATATTTTCACATGGCACAATGTAAACTTATATTTCCAGCTATAAACTGTGAAGGCCATCCTCACAGAAAAACCAACACTGGTATTATTGGGTCAGTCAGAGCTTGTACATTGAAGATGCCGGTTTTAAGTATATGCGTTGCCAGTTAAACTTTAAAATAATGGGCTTGATGAACAAATAATCTAACCTATATGTATGCTCACATGGAAGAGGATGGGCTGAAAAAAAAAAAGAAAAATCAAAAAGTCCCTTTTGAATAAGCTTTTAAAACTTTAGCTATGCCTTTAAAGCAATAAAATGAAAAAAAAAATCGGCCATGTGATTGAAAGAAAAAGAAGTCTTTTCCCTTTGTGTACACTTATATCAAGTGGCAATAGTCACCAAAATGGACTTAGTAGTAGCAGTATTCTCATTTGCTACGCACTTATATCTAAGCACTGTACAAGACCTATTTTTTTCCCTCACAACAACCCTATGAGGTAAGCTGGGATGAGATTGAGTGACTAAAGTCACCTAGTGAGCTAAGGGTGGACTAGAACATGAAGACTTGGTTGTTCTCCCACGCTTGGAGCCTCTGTCAGTTGTTCTGTTATATGTTTTTTTCCCAGATGTATATGGTTCTTTATGTTTGGTTTTCCAATCTTTTCCTAATTTAATTGTAAACTTCCCAGAACTGTCTGGAGTTGGACGGCCTCTAAATTTGATCAAATTTATATATGCATACATACATACATGGATTCCCCCCATGTCCAGTCCAACACTTTATCCAGTACACCACACTGTGAGACTTAGTCTCTCACTGACTTGATTAACACTCTCCACTGGGGGCTGAGAGCTAGGAAATTTGCCTTTTCATTTATCATGGATGGTAACTTGCATGACTTATATGACACACTGTTCTGTAGTACTGTACTCTCTTCTAGTATTGCTCATTTGTTGCACAGTGATGTGTAATATACAGTAAGGGTCAACTTCTAATTGCAGCATTGTAATGATCTAGGAATTGCTTCCTGTGCATAGGAAGTATATAGGCAGTATTCTAAATGTGCCTTTTGGAATATAGAAGCACTATGTTTGTAGCACAGATCCAATGGAATGGCGTGAGTAGGTGGATTGAGTTGGTTATAGAACACATAACTGGGAGAAGAGTGGATTAGTCACCATTGCTAATGGCAAGGTCCAGTATTTCATATAAGTTACTTATTTATTACATCTATATCCCACCTTTTGTACTGGAGCTCAAGGCGACCTACGTAGTGCCTACATTCCTAATTTTTCCCCACATCAATAACCCTGTGAGATAGGTTAGGCTAAGAGAGAGTAACTGGCTCAAAGCCATCCAGTGAACTTCCATGGTTGAGGGTCTCCTTGTTTCTAGCCCAATACTTCAACCGTTGTACTACACTTGCTCATAAGTTAATCTTATAAATGCTATACTGTAATTAATTAGTATTGATAAGTATTTAGTATTAGGGTATGCACACTTCAGAAATGATTCAGAACACAGTTCTGAAGGAGTGCTTTGGAACACACATAACTGTAGCTCCTCTTTACTATTCTGCTTCAGCTTGTAAACAAGATTCAGCCATCTTTAATGAGTCAACTAATACAACTCTTAAAATAGCCACATTTTTTTCAGGCTGGTAAAAAGGACATGACAGCTTCAATTAGTGGTAGAGGAGTGCTGTGCTTGAGCTGTGTTCCAAAGCACATCTTCTGAATTCTTTTTGAAGTGGGCCCAGCAACTATCTGCCTTATAAAATTGTTACTTACGTGGAATAGGGTATGCAAATCGGTCTGGATGTTTTGTAATTAGTGTATTTTTAATATGTCTTCTCCCAACACCATGTGCTCCTACATGAAGAAATTATGAATATTACTACAAAGATCTAACAATATAATATATAATTCATTACTACAGGATCAAAATTAATGTTACCTAATAAAACAAGTGTTTTCCTTTTGAATGCAGGCAATTTTACCACTTCTTCATAGGTGACAAGGTCTAATTGATCAAACACTGTAACAGGAAGAAAAAACAAAAATAGAGGAAAAATGTCTGAATCATATTTTTCAAAATGGTTTCAAAAACATCGTGTTTGTTACAAAAATTTATAGCTATTTCAATAAAGGATTTTTCTTACAATTTCACTAAATATTTTACTTTACAAGAATATATTACAAATTACATGCTCAAGAATTTGTGGGAGAGACCATGCAAATAGGCAGAATGCAAGTATTAGCACTTCTGAAAATTTCTCAGACTCCCAAAAGTAAGTAGTAATTATTATAGGGAATGATAAACTAATAGATATGTGAGAACATCTATTTAATGAACAGTAAAGATTTAAATATATTTTATTAACCTTATAAAAATGAATTAAAGTCTACCTTATAACATTGTTTTATTGTAATGTGCGCCTGTGTATGTATGTGTATGGTCTTATAAAAACTCTCCCAAATATAATTATTAGAGTAACTATGAATAGAGTTGTCTTCACAAGGAAGTTAACATTTTATATTAGCATGCTCTTGTGAATTTGGATAGTGAATAAAATTTTGGACAAAGAAAATGGCTTTACTGCAAACCATAAAGCCACCACAATAATAGAAACAATATGACCCTGGAAAAGATTTTCTCAACTGTCTTTATGCTATTGTCAATTATTTGAGAATCTCAATGCATTGCCAACTGCAATAGTTTAGTAAATCATATTTTAAAAAAACCCTTCCCTTTCTTATGCCACATAATGAACTATTCTTTGTATTATAATAAGTTAAATAGAATATAATTATTAACCAAAGAATTATGCCAATTATAAGAACATGTCTTAGTATCTTAAGTCAATGTAAGAGTGAATATTTTATTAAAAATTCTACCAAAAAAAAAAGCGTACTTTCAAAAAGACAAAAAGAGAAAGAGGGAAGGAGTTAGTGTACCAAAAATACAACCATGCCTTATTTTAATTTATTACAATACAGTTTTAAATTTAATATAGATTAAGAAGTCAGACATCCAAACATTTGATTAGGCATATCTCTCTGAAATTCTGCCAAGATATATATTTGGTGTACTAGTGGAATATTTTACTATCTCCTGGTATAGCAAATTGGACATCTAAGTTATTAGAAATCTTCCTATTTATAACATAAATCATATAGCCATTATAGTGTGAGTCTCTCTTGACAGTAAAAATGGAACATACATGTGTTAATAAATAAATATTAACAGCTATTATTGCTAAGATGGATCTGGATATTCTGTGAAAAAAATTAATATTAGCATCTATAAACTTGTAGTTTTCTGAGCTAAGTTATTTTTCTTAAGTAAAATTAGATTTAACTACATTTTCATTTTCTATTTAAAAAAATACTCTACTTAATATAGTTAGTAATGACATAAAGCCCTAATAATTTCCCTAAGGAAAAATCTAGGTTGTATTTCCACGCTCACCAAATTTGTAGAATATATTATAGTAGATAAAAACTGGTTGGAATTTTAATTTTGTGGTATTTTCAAGGCCACCTCTAAATATTTAAAAGCATAACTCATAGTGAGAGTGCTTCAACACAAACAAGCAGAAAAAACATTCTAATAACCAAATAATCAAGATAAATATTAATTCAGGTTTCTAGACAGAATTTAAAAAATGTACACATATTAGAGGAATACAAGGACACATTTACCAACTGAACTTTTAAACATTTCTACACTTCTAGGTAATAAAGAAAAGGAGTTATTGAAGGGAAACAGTAAGAAGCAAATAAAAAGGCATTGTCACTTGACAGGTTACTTACATGCACAGAGGCCATTGGGATTAAGACAGCATGAAAAATGGACAGGGGTCATTGAAATATGGCTCATAATATATTAGTAAAATAAAAAGCATATGCACAAAATAAACTTCACCATGCAATATTCTAAACACAATGCAAATAAATTACTTTAAATGATAAGCATGTTTCTAAAAAAATTGGTTCTCTTCTGTAAATTGCTTTTAATGACATTAAAGGAAACATTTTATGCTTGTGCTAAGGTTGCAACATCAGAAAAATGATACAAAATGTATTACTACATTCTGCAATATGTAAATTTACTTCATAATTAAAAAAATAATGTTGAGGTAATATATAGTATAATTTAGCAATAGTTTAAAAAGCAGACTTTTGCAAGATTTCTAGGATTCCTAAAATAATTTAAAAAATGAAATCTCAGATATTTGAGAGGAAGTAGGAAATATTATATTTTATTTTTTACTGTCTAAATACATGGAAGAAATGAAACTTCATTGTATTAGGATATGATATACACATTTTAAACATCTTTTAAATCAGCATTCATCTATGTGGAAGATTTTTAAGAAACCGATTAGTACTAAGAAAATAGCAAGCCTGTCTTCTATTTCCCCCCTCAATTTTTTTTTGTGAGCTGAATCACAAAATTTAAAAAAACTAAATACTGAAAGGGAGGAAAAATAGGATGTGAATTACTTTTTTAAATGCAATAATTTAAGTTAACCCCCCCCCCGAGTCTTCAAATGAACGCCCTGTCTAAAACTCTGGTAGTTAATCACAGAGCTCCAAGCATGGGTGTCTGCAGCACGACTTTGCTATTTTCATCAGAATGACAAAAGTTGTGGCCCGTTCGTAGATGTGTGCAAAGTCATGATACACGTACAAAAGAAGTGGGCCTTCTATTTTGATGCCACAAAGTCATGATGCATGTACAAAAGTGGGCCTTCTATTGTGATGCCATAATGCTGCTTTTGCCATTCTACCCCCGTTTTGAGTCCGCCTGCAAATGCCACTGCCTCAGGTGTTACTGCAGGCTCATCTCCTGATAGCAGGAATGTTTTTGCCATCATGCATTGCTTTCCTAAGACATTATTGTAGGGATTTATTTATTTAAAGAACTTATATAAATGTCTAACCCACATAGTGATTCCTAGGCAGCTCACAACAACCAATAAAAACAGAGTAAAAATAGAACAACCCTTCTTACCAGGTGCCAGATCAACCAAACTATCATCCTCCTGCCTCAACCTCCATCCTAGCCCAATACTTGGGGGAAGAGCCAGGTTTTTATGGCCTTCTGGAAGGCTAAAAGGATAGGAGCCCCTTGAATCTCAGGTGGGAGGCTATTCCAAAAGGCTGTGGCAGCTACAGAGAAGGTGCGCCTCCAAGGTTCCATGAGATGACATCATTTAAGGGAGGGACCTGGAGCATACCCACCCTATCTGACCTACTGGGATGGGAAGATACTCCTGGGGAGAGGGGATTCTGCAAATAACCTGGCTCTGTGCCATGTAAAGCTTTAAATGTGATAAAGACCTTGAATTGCACCAGGAAACCAACTAGGAGCCAGCGCAACTCATGCAATAGCGGTGTAACTTGGGTGAACTGTGAGGCATCCAGAGCTGTGTGTGCTGCTGCATTCTGGACCAGTTGAAGCTTCTGCATGGTCTTCAAGGGCAGCCCCATGTAGAACACATTGCAGCAATCCAATTGGGAGGTGACTAAGTCATGAGTAGCTGTGAGCAAGGTCCAGGAATGGTCCAGGAATGGGCCCAATTGGTGCACAAGATGACTTTATGCAAAGGCCCTCCTGGCCATGGCTGCCACCTGCTCTTTTGGCAGGAGCTATGAGTCCAGGAGGACCTCCAAATTGTGCACCAATTCTGTCTGGGGGACTGTTACCTTGTCCAGAGTCAGAGATGTCAGATCTCTTGACCCTGGGGCCAAAAATCCACAATCATTCCATCTTGCTAGGGTTGAATCGCAGCCAGTTTCTCCCTATCCAGGCTGGTGATAGACCATGTTAAGAGACAGGACTACTCATTGCAGTATAAGTGGTAGAGAAGAACATAACATGAGAACCAGATTATAATGGTTTTATTTTTGTTATGAATTTATTCACTATTGTTTCAGATTGCATATGCAGAACTAAATACAGTGTGTTTGTATTTTATAAATTGTTATAAATCCACATAATATCAAGCCCTCTTCCCAGATTAAAATACTATGACAGCTTTAGGCATTATATTGTGTGGATGAAGCACTATTAAATCTGCATGATTTCACTGAGAAAATAAAATGTATACTTAATTCATTCTTCATTTACTCATGATGCAAAAATCAATAGGCCTTATTAACAAATAGTATCTTATGCAAGAAGATGCATTTTTATGGCAATATATTTATTTGAATATTTAAAATATTTAAGATTACTGCACACTACCTGGTCTTACATTTCACAGTTAATGCACTTTTTAGTCCCTTCTGGAATAGATTAGGGTACTTTTTTCATTAAAATATATAACAATTCTAACTCTAAGCAAATTACTAGAAAGTACCATTAACCTTGATGAGAGTAAACATGCTTAGAACTCAGTTGCAAGTGGATTTTCACAGCTCATACAGACACTGCTTATTTTGCTTTATGCTAGTGGTAAAAGAGAAGCAAACTTTATTTTACATCTTAATGTACATCTCAATTTCCTGGCAGATATTAAGAAAATATAACATTATAACAATAGGATATTGTATTCTGTAAATTGTATTTATTGTATCCAGGGCTGGATCCATTAAGCCATAATGCAAATGGTCAATAAACAAACCAAGGTTTGCTTGGTGGGCAGTAAACAAATTTAACACTGTGGCTTCTTATTGGCTGTAATATGGCTGTAATATGGTATCATGTGCAAATGGAGACATATTCCTTGAGTTGTGCCATAGAGGTACAAGGCAAGAGCAATAGCAGAAGCAACAATAATGAAAAGTTAAAAAAAAACAAACTAGTTATGATTTGGTTAAACAACTCATGAATGGTCTACTCCCTTGCAAAACTGACCCTAGGTTGTTTGTAGTTGTTCAACAAATCATTATAAAAAAACTACCATGGCTGTTATTCAAGAAGACGGCCAGTATTGTGGTAGTAATACATTCTATGTTTTAATGATTTTTCACACATACACACAAAATGACAATTCCCACCCAAATTTACCATGTATTTGCCTTACTGCGTTGTCTTATATTCAACACACACCTTGCGACTTATAGAAAGTTTGGGACAAGTCCATCTATAAATTCATCACTCCTGTCTAGTCTGTGTAGGAAGATATTATTTGTAACATATAGAAATAATATCATAAACTCCTTAAAGAGGCTAACAAAAATGTTGTTTATGTTGTTCATTGTTTTGATGTGTGTTATCCTGGGGTCCTCCTTGTGGAATGAAGAAAATAGGATAAAATCATCACCATCAGTTTTTAGAAAGATGTTAGTGATACAGTTTGGTTAAAAAAGTGTTCAGGATTAATTTTAATGATAATTTCATTTGTATAAATTGTTTAATAACACAGAATAATAGCCTAAAATAAAATAAAATAATAATAGGCTAAAATTGGTTATAAAGGATACAATATAGAGATTAGGGGATTAGCAATCTTGTTTGGAATGCAGAGTAAAATAGGAATAATTACATTTCTGAAATTGGATGAAAAGTTATACAAGGCATATGAATATTTGAATTATATCACCTACAATTGTCTTGACTAATCAGCACAGTATAATGTTAACTAGTTGTAACAAATGGTACACTGAGGTATAGACAATTTTGATATTTTTATTTAATATGAGATATTAAATAGGTTTTTCTTTTCTTTTCTTTTCTTTTAATAGTGTCTATAGCAAATGAAAGTTGCCAATAGTTAGGACTGAATACAAACTTTTAAAAATTGGTTACCAGCAACCTTTGGGACCAATTCAAAGTTATTATCTTTAAAGTTATTATCTTTAAAGCTTTTTACAATATGGCACTGGGATATATCATGTAATCCCTTGCCAGTAAAGAATCTGCCCTCCTGGTCCTGCCTTCGAGAGAGGACCCGCTGAGAATACCCCCTGAGAGAAGAACATAGGAGTGAATTTGACAGCAGGCCTTCTTTGCAGCAGCTCCCACCCTTTGGAAGACTCTTCCCCCAGGAGGAATGTGAAGCCCCATCTTCTTCAGCTATTCAGAAGCAATTTAAAGCCAGATCATTTCAGCATGTTTTTGGCCCCATCTGACTGAGTAATGGCATTTCATATGGGAACTTATTTGGAAATTTATATTTTTATTTGATGATTCTGTTTTTACATTTGCATGTACCCCAGAGTCCTTTGTGATAGGGGTAGATTATAAAAATTCTTAAATAAATAATGAGAGTGTTCTGTACTGCAAATGCACTGTTAATCCATCATGCTGGTGAGGTTTTTAGCATAGGTTGGTTAAGCTACCCTAACATTAAATGGTTGGAAAAAGAAAGATTTTTTGATTATCTGAATTGCTTTAACCCTACAAGAAGATCCTTAAGGAAAAATACATGAAACAAAAATCCTAAGAAAGGAATTAACGTAGTCCTGGGAAGAATGCAGATGAGTTGTTGGGCTGTTTCTAAGAAATGCATCTTGGAATAAGGAGTGGTTCACAATAAAAGCAGATTAAAAAGGTGGGAAAGGCCATAGCATGGTGAAATACATATGAGGAAGAATGGCAGAGGTAAGGAATATTATTATTGATTCAAAAACTACCATGGCTGTTATTC